AGAGAAAAAAGTAGCCTAAAGCCCTTGGGCACTAGCCACATATCAGGACAGTGAGGCAGATGAAGTATGTTTTGTTGGTTCCCATTCTGAAGACTTGGTCACTCTAGGACCAGCACTTTCCCCAGGTCATGTGCTCTAAGCCATTCATAAATATTGCTCTCATCTTTTCTGAGTATAGTGATTAATTACTATTGTCACCCTGACTGGATTAAGAAACACTTAGGGCATTAGCTGGGAACATTTTTGGGTGTATCTATGAGAACTTTTCCATAAGTTTTTAAGTGGGGATGATGAAAGCAGTTGTGTTCTGAATGTAGATGGCACCATCCCATGGGCTGAATTCCTGGACTGAATAAAGGAGGGAAAGGAGAAAGTAAGCTGATCACTCCTTTCTCTGACTCCTGATCTACCCAGAGGCAAGCAAATTTATCCTGCCACAGATGTTGAACATACCTCCTCAGAATGGTAGACTGTATCACCTGAGCTGTGAGCCAAAACAAACTTTTCTTCCCAGAAGTTGTTTTTTTTTGTTGTTGTTGTTTGTTTGTTTTTATCAAGTATTTGGTCACAGCAGGAGAAAAGTAACTACCATGCTGGGCTTCCACTAGCAGTCCCGATCAAGTTATTGAACTTCAAGTTTACATGTAAAGTCAGACTACAATGAGAAAATTCCACGCTGACTTACTGGAGAAAATCATGTTAGGATAGCTCCAGGATTTCAAAGACTACTATGATCAGTTTGGTCACCAGGAATAGATCAGAGAACTATAATTGAGGCAAGATAGTAGGCCAGGGAGGCTGGGACCAACCATAGTTAAGTGAGTGGATTCCATTCCTTGAAGTACATTAAACTCTAAGAGGGTTTACAGGAACATGTGTACCTGAACAAGGGTCTGAGCAAACACTGAATGCAGATTCCTTCTGGCATACTCACCTTCATTGCTGCAAAGTTTTTACAGAATGGTCAATTTGTGGCTCATGTCTGAAAACTGTCAGAATACCTCCTGTCCACAGGAGGACCCAGGCACTGTAGACAGTATGTTTGCCTGTGGCCTAATTGAGACAAATAACTCAAATATAACTGGTTAAGAAGAGGTGGGGAAAAGAAAAAAAAGCAATTTTTGCTTTGACCCTGACCAATTTCTTCAGATCTTCAAGACTTGTCAATCAAGTTTTCAAGTCACCATAATAAAAGAGCCAGCTACTTACATGGACACGGGATTTTTCCAACCAACCAGCTTTTGTCGTTAGTCTATAGGCAACTACACCTTCACTCTGCTTTCTGTCAGAGTATGGTCAACATCCCACCATAGCTGTTACTTCATCACCATGACTACAAGGAGTATTTGATAACTGACCTTTCGAACATTTATAAAATAACTATTGTGTGCTTATTGTGGCATGCTTGAGTGTAAGAGTAAAGCACTAATAAAATATTTTAGTTGGAAGAGTCAATTACACAGGAAATTAGGCTATAATCAGTGTGAGCACACAGTGGTGGTAACAGACATGGGTGGACCTTACCTTGAGTGGCTGACCAGGCTGAGAAGATGAAGGACATTTTAAATACAAGGAGCTACACATATAAGAAATGTGGGGCAGAGGGCTTTCTATGGCAAGTGTTGACACCGAAATAATTTGAGGGTGTCCTGTGTGTCCTAATATCTAGTATATTTTAAAAACTGCAGTGGAGATATGTGCCACAAGGAAGAGTTGACACTTTGGATTCAAATTTGTAGAGCAGGTAAAAGCTGAATCCTGGCTGAAATTAAGCGACAAAACTTGCAAGTCGCAGTGGAATCTTAGTCCTTTGCCAAAGTGATGTTTTTGTGAAATATCGAATACTTTGAAATTATTACAGAACCCAGTATGCTCAACATTTCTTTGAAGCAGCAACACTGTTAAGCATACTTGTGCTTGGGGCATCTTAAACACAGCCATCCGAAAAAGCATGAACATGGCTGACTAGTACAACATGGCTTCAGTGAAGGATCAAGCAGCCAGCTTTGTTCAGAAAGGTAAGTAATCATTTATCTGTACTTCTGTCACTGAGGCATAACACTGTTCAGAGAAAAAACAAAAGCAACACTGGGATCCCTGGAATTTTAAATAGCTTAAGTTTTAGTCCAAGACAAAGGCATTGGTCACCAGAGGACATAATGGTTTCTATTGTCTTGATAAAATGGTCAAGAGTACAGCTCCCCCTACCCCATTTTCTCTCTTCTTTATATGATTATAACTTGGTTTGAAAAATGGATATGTTATTATTTATATGGACTAGCAGTTAGATTGCCATTTTCTCTACAGCATACAGTCAAGAAGAAGGTAAGTGTGAGCACCACTTTCAGCGAAACCCCTTTCTATTCCCAACAATAGAAACACAAAAAGAAGAAAGAAATAACACAGAGAGGGACACAAATGCTAGTAAACCCATTTTCCTTCTTTCAGGTTATTGAATCATTTCAAGACAATATGCCTCCACAAAAACATTATCAAGATCTTACGACTGCCTCTGGCAAATACAATCCATATTCAAACCTCCTATAGTCTTATGCATCTTTTAAATTACTGAATGTGCAATTGTCCTCATCACTTAGCCAAGTCATTTATACACAAAACAATTGTCACATCCCCAGATGACTTTAAACACCTATAAGCAATGTTTGTTAATCTATTTTTCCCTCACAAATTTCTAAATGTTCACTTCAAAACAGAAGATAGTAAAAGCTCTCAACTGAATAGGAAATTTTACATAATAGGAAAGGATAAAATGGAACAAAGCACCTATGGTTTAGAATGAGAAAAAACCCATGTCTGAATCGTGGTTTATCACTTACTAATTGTCTGCCACTGGGAAAATTACTTAATGTCTCTGAATCTCAACTCCCTTAGGTCTAAAATAGAGATAATAGTAGCTATCTAATTGGATGGCTGCATTATAAAGACATTGTGTACAAAAAGTAGAGGCTCACTTTAGAAATTAGCTTCTGTCTTGATTACTTATTACTAGAATAGCTACTTTATTAACTTCTGAATTCATAGTGGGTTTTGGAGGCACAATTCAGAAGAAAATGCTTAGGTTTTAGAAATTTGTGTTTGAGTCCCAAGAGTTTGATGGAAATCAAGAAACCTTTGAAGAGAGTTCTTTTAGAGGAAATAATAACAGCTACCTTTGCTGATTGTATAAAAGTTGAGTGTAGCCATACTTCAGGGTACATGCCTGTTATTCAGTAGGCAGTACCTTTCAACTATTAATGCCATTATCAGTAAATGAAAAACAATGACCTGACTTACACAGCTAACAATGTAGAAGTAACTTTTACAAGTATGGAATACAGGATTAATCGCTAGTGATGGGTTAAGAATTGGTCTTTCAGGTGGCCTGTAGTATATATTATCTCTCAATCCTTCATGCAGAACCTGGGACGCCCAATATGTCACTAAGATTATTTAAATTTTCCTCATATATTTGGACAAAGTCACCAAAAAGGCCCCAAATATTGTACAGATACTACATATTTTTATATCTGGGACTAAGAAGCAATTATACTTTCATGAAAAAGGTGTTAAGGGATATGTTAACTGAAAAGATAGGGAAAAGGCAAGTAAAAGAACCAAACCAACCCTTTCACCTTTCACTCATGCTCTCCAAACCAAAAATCCTACCAAAGCACTTAGGTTAGAAATGCAATGTGCAGTTTGTCATCCTCCAAGCTTTTCAATCTTCGTCCACTCATCTGAATGAGTGCGAGTGACAGTTTCAAAGCAGGGAAAGGTGGTGACACCAAGAAACAAAGCCTCCAAGAGCATCCTTTTCTGTAGGTCTTTGCTTTTGGTGCTACAAAAGGCGCAACACATTTAAAACTCAGTTCTTTTGGACAGCAAAGGAACAGGCCTGAGAAGATTTGCTTTAAAGTAATCAACGGTTTTATTTCCTAGAACTGAAATAGTCTACGATTCTCAGACCTAACCTCCAAAAGTATAGTTAGAATTTTTCATCAGAGCCCGAGGGAAAAGCGCGGGGCCCAAAGGGTCCGGGTACAAAGGTACAGAGACAGATGTTGGGAAGGGACACTCAACTTCTCAGTACATTACATTGCAGTAGGTGACAACACTGAGGGGCCCAGGTGGTGACATGTAGATGGAAACTTTAAAAAAAGAAAAAAGCAAGCCCTAACAACGAGGCCATCAAATCCCAAACAAAAAGGGAATTCCCGGTTCATTTGATAATGACACTGGCCACAGGAAAAATTAGGAGCAGGCACAACCAACGGTTTTTCTAAACAGAATAAAATTCCTCTTAAAATAACGGTGGTTCCTAAAGTGTTATGTCCTAGTGATACATATTACTGAAGGCCCTGGGGCTCCAAGGTCGACTGAAAGGGGCAGCAGAGGTCTCCGAAACGGTATCCATCAGTGGTCCAAGAGATGTGGAGAGGATAAGGTCTCACCACTTCTACCCAAAAGGGCAGGCAAAGTCTTCACATCTTACAGCTAGAGAGCCCCAAATGTTTCAATGAAAAACGAAACGCAAAAGGGCAACCTCCAACTGCCTGTGATAACAGAAAACTTTACTGAGTCCTCCTCCCCCCAGTCACTTTCCTCGATCCTATAAAACTGGGAATAGAGCTATGGGAGGAAGAGACAGGAACTCAAGGAGACTATGCTCACGCCCCCACAGGACCAACATCACCAGTTTACAGACCGCCCCTCCCAGACCGTTGAAAGTCGCCTTTGCTCTTTCTCCTCCACCCCCTTCACTCCTGGTATCCAGGCAGAGATCCAAAATGCCCCTAAGAGTTTAGGGAGGGAAGGGGGCCGCAACTGAAGCCACGAAGTTGATGTCAAGTGGCCTGACCCATTCCAGGAATTCAGGCTTGGAGAAAGTGAGTAAATGAAGGAGAGGTGGGCTGGGGTGAGGACTGGGCCCTAGTGGGTTTTGCCAGCCACAGCCAGGTGGCATCAGGAAGGGGTAGAGGGCTCTTCTACAGACACCGTGACTACAGGCCTTCGATTTCTCCACCAATCAGGGCCTGGACCGCCTCCTCTGTGGCCTCCTCCTCCAGCGAAGGCTGCTGCTCCTGGGCTTGGTCAGGCTCCTCCATGATGGGGCAGGCCTCAGCCTCGCGCTCTCCAGCCGGCTCCATCTCCAGTGGGCCGCCGGGCGCCGCCTCCCTGGGCCGTTTGGGGGGATCATGCGGCTGCTCCGGCGCGCTCCTCTTCAGACGCCCTGGCTCCTCCTCGGCCTCGGCCTCAGCCTGCTGCTCTAGCACCTGCTCAGCCCGCTGATCTCCTGGCTCGGCCTCCTCATCTCCTGGCTCGGCCTCGGCAAGGCCTGGCTCTTCCTCCGCGGCGTCCAGCAGGCCATAGGCAGGCCGTGGCTCCGGCTCCTGCTCACACTCGCTCTCAGGCCCCGGCTCTGGCTCCAGGTCAGGTAGGGACTCGGGCTCCAGCTCCTGCCTGGGCTCCTTCGGCTCGTCCGGCTCGTCCGGTTCCTCCAGCTCCTCCAGCTCCTCGGGCTCCTCCCCCTGCCCGGGCCCCTGGTCGCAGGGCTGCTCCTCCTCTGAGCCCAGGCAAGGGGAGGCCTCGACCATAGGGTCGTGCTCAATCTCCCACAGCCCCTCGCTGAAGCCGCGCCTCTTGTTGGGCTTGCCGAACCTCTCCTTGGACTCCTCGTACGGGAACAGGTGCTTGGGGCCTAGCAGGGCCGTCTCGTGGGTCCCGAAGAAGAACACCTGGTAGCGGTTGGGTTCAGCGACGTGCTCGATCCTCGCCGGCCAGTGGGCATAGCCCTTTAGCTTGGCAAACACCAGGTCCCCGGTCTTGTACTTAGAGCGGCTGAAGCAAGACATGGCGTGTGCTCTGCGCCCCACCTTGGCGACCGGAAGCTGACCACTGCGTCTGCGCAGGTCACTGGGCCGAGTGCGCGTGCGCAGTGCAGCCCTCTCGAGGACGCTGGCAACGCTTCCTTCTTCAGAATGTTGCACTGCAAAGAGGGCATTATCTCCGAGAGCCAATGGCTAGTGGAGCCCGACACGGACGCCATGGTTACCTGAATGTTACCGCAAATAGCAGGTGAGGTCCTCATGGCCGTTGTGGTGACAAGGACCCAGTGTGTGTCTCCATCTTGAAGACACATCTGTGCCATAAAGATGACCACTTGTTGTATTCCAGAGTAGCCTAGAAAGAGTGTGATTGAAGTAATGGGGGAAGAAAACACAATGATCATATGAAAACATATTTCTCTGAAACTTGTAACAATCTGGAATTACCTTTCAGTGACTTTGTGGCCAGTATCTGCTGGCTACAGAAAACTTAAGAGGCATCCTTGAGAAGTCTAGGTTAATTGTTTCATTTTCTGATTTAGTCAGAGCCCATCATTAGAATTTATGTTGAGGCTAACAACCATGTAGAAGTCTGTGGAAGGGAAAGTCAGCAGTCAGCAGTCTGGTTAGGGTGTCTGAAAGACACATGGCTAGGAACATAAACTCTAAACATAATGCTTTCTTGATGATAAAATGTGTGTAGCAACACCACCACCATGGCAACCCAGATAGATCAAAATATCCAACAAGTTCCCATGTGTGAAACATAATGGCTACATGGGAATACTGGGGATGTGGTAGATGCTATCAGTATTTTTCTGTAAGAGGAGAAAATTGGGCTCTATATGGAAGAGATTGGAGGAGACCCATCTCCCCATCTGAGGTAGTGAGATAGGAGATATTAGGGAAGCATTGTCGAGTACTTAAATGACTCTAGTTAAGCTTTTATTGTAAGCACCCCCTTAAAGATTTATCTTTCTTTTAAATAAGATATTGAAGGTGGGGTGATTTGAGTCCCTAATTAGCAGCTATTAGACTTTCCCCTGTATCCTGCTATCTTGAGTCTAGAAACATCAGCCAGACTACCTCATGGCAGTGTGGCTATTTGGACACATTACAATCTCTGGGAGGATACTGGAGCAGCTTCGAGGAGAGGACTTGTGCAACCAGGGCTGCAGACATGCTCCTGATAGTTGGCACTTCAAAAACAGTACTCCAAGAACAAAATTTGGTAAACATCCTTCAGCCATTCTAACCCAAGCCAAAGAAGCACCTGCCCTAAACCCAATAGAAGGCCTATGATTGGTTCTCACACAGTACTTCATTTGAATAAAGATCAGTTTATTTCACTTTTCCAGTTATATGGAGAGAGCTACCTACTTTATGGTGTTGCAACAATAGGCCAAACACAAGGGTTCTCTGTAGAGGTATTTTTTGTTATTTTGTTTTGTTTGTCTCCTTTGGATTTTATTGTGGGTGCAGTGGGATGAGCTGGCAGCAGGAAGACAGATTTTAACTAAGGCAGTAGACAAACTCTAGTTTTACAGATAGGAGCAGCCACTTCTGGAGCAGCAGTAGTGAAGACAGAGCAATGGAATCATCTCAAAGAGCAGTAGCAGCAGAAATAACTGGAAGTAGGAGTAAGGAAGACAACAGGCTTTGGAAGGCCCTAAGGAGCTGAAGATAAGAAACTGTGGACCCTGGTTGCTGCAAGAGTTTCAGAAAGCTGCCAAGCCTTAAGGACCAAAGGTTCCGTGTACCCTAGGTCTAGGGCTGTGGCACCAGCCACAGACTGGGGGAACCTGATACTTAGGGTTGGGAGGTATAGCACTTGTACAACTGCGGAGATTCCCAGCACCCAAGGTCTGTTTGAGAGCTGTAATATTAGCAGGTACTGCTGCTGCTACCTGAGTCTGTCCACTGCTGCTTCTGCTTTAAGCCACGGATTATAATTGCTGCCAAGTGCCAGGACCAGAATTGGTTACAGGTTAAAGCAATAAATCTCTAGTGTGACTGCTTAGCACCATAAGTCTCTGGCTTCAAAAGTGTGGTAGCAAAGCCCCCTAGTTTTCAGGGTTTGTTACGGTAATTCTTCAGTTATGCCAGCCTAACCCACAGGCCTTGGACTGGACTGCCAGTGCTAGAAGAATTTCTCCTTACTGTTTCATAATTCTTACCTACTTTATAAAAGGTGCACCAGCCAGCTGATTATTAATTTATGCCTAACAATTATTTAGACGTCTATTCCTGTCAAATATATTGGAAACACAGACCTGCTGGAGGTCACAACCTAAAAATAAAGACTAAGCTCAACCAAGACATGACTAATAGATTCTCTGTGAGTGAACTTATCTTTTTGCCCACATCTCTTGAGTTCTGCTTGCTATCAGAATGTACGTTCAGATACCTATCCAAATTTATCACAATACTCTGGGATATTTTTTAAAAAACTCATTTCTGTACTAATTAAGTAGTTAATGGTAAAGATATTCTTTTGAGGTGTAATAAGTGAAAAATTAGAATCATTAACCCTTTTCAGTACAACACCAATTTAGTTTTGGTTTGTCTGGTGGAACCATCCATTTTACCTTTGAATAATGGAGGCCTGATCTGGGGAAAATGGAATAGTATCCAAAGGTAAAACAAAAGTAATTTTATAATCCTAATCAAGTTCTTTTAGCTTTTCTTTTAATCCATTTTCTTAAGATGTCCTTCTGCCCTGGATTAGCTACAGCTTTACCAAATAGACAACATTGACAGTGAACCAACTGCTCTGCAAAAAAAGGAATGCAACACACTTCTCCCTCTTGAGTTCCTAATGAAAGTTCTAGAAAACTGGAAACATTTAAAGGAATTTGAAGAAAATGAGTAACCACAGCAGCCCAGAATTGTGAGGAATCTGAAATTGCTGAATGCATAGGTCATTTAGGTAACCCTGTACTTCCCTTCTCCTAAATATGGTAAATCACTGTGTGGGTATCATGTACAAAGGTGACTCTGGTAGAAAGAAATTCTTCAAAGATTTTTGTTCAGAAAGGACAGTTATCCACCAGCATAGTTGTTATGGCAAGAACAATCCTAAAATCCAGCTTTTTATGAAATCACTAGTGAGTGGATAAAACCAAACAAGCTATATAACAATAACTAGGTGAAGAATCACTACAGATATTAACTGGAGTGAAAGTCTGAGGGAGGAATCTACCCAAAACTTACATGAAAATAAAATCAGAAGCAGAGGCAAGAAGGCAAGACAAATACTGAGATTTGCATAGGGGGATGCAAACTCCATTAGGCCAATATTATTCCTCTAACAGATATTGTACCTCCTGTTTTCCCAGTTTAGGAGATAAAGCACCAGGGCATTATGATCCAGACTCTTGTTTAAATGATAAGTGATGTGCCCTCTCTCTATGTAAACACCAAATGAATTCTAGGAGGAATTGATAGGCATGTGGTATTAGGGCAGATTTACAGAAGCAGTAGATGATACTGCAGAAAATGCTGACATTTTTCCTTATTTCCCAGCCTTCTATGGCTGAGAGAAGGTGTGTGTGTGTGTGTGTGTGTGTGTGTGTGTGTGTGTGTGTGCGCAAACATACATACGCTCTGATACATAGTCAGGTTTTAAATTTTATTTTAAAAATTAATTATCTATTTATTGAGATTGAGATTAAATCTAAGTGTCTCTGCATTGTAGACTAGTAATCTACCACTGAGTTAAGTCTGCAGCTGTCATTAACTTTCAAGATAGAGTATCTCTGAGTTTTCTAGGCTGGCATTGTGGTTACTCTATAGTACAGACTGACCTTGAAGTTGATATATTCCTCCTTTATCCTTCTAAGTGACTGGGATTATAGGCTTGAATGACTAGGTTTGGTGATAGCATCTTTCTGAACCTCTATTATATATTTTCAAAGATATTTAAAATGGCACATGGTATTTTTTTCTGGATTTCAGGAATACTAATGAGACTATGGGTATTAAAAGCCTAAAAGTAGAAGATACTGCCATGATGCTCTGTGATAAGTCAGTGTGAAGTGGGAATATTATTATGAACGGGAATAAGCTATAACTATCATTATGTTAAGCGAGGGGAAAGATATATCAAAGAGACTGAAGGAGGGCCTTGAAAAATGAAGAAGTCCACCAGCAGCCAAGTGTCATGTTATACAAGAATTACATCTCTTGCACAACCTCAGAATGAAGTTTCCTCTCACTTGGAACTTTGAAGAATTACATTCTTCAAGTATATTGTTCACCTCCTGGTAACTCATTTAAGAAAAGGGGAAACAAAGGGAAAGTAGGATGCCTTTTGAGAGTAAGAGTGACCATTTCTGTTCCTCATTTCTTTTTCTTTTTTTTAATCTGTATACACTGTTACCTGACAAGTGGAGTTAACACAGATCCACTTGCTTTAGAAACCAACATGTTTTTTTAGCTCTTGCAAATCTCTTGATGCTCATGGTAAGTAGCTCAGTTGGTTTGGATCTAGTTGTTATAAAGTACTTCCAAATAAGTATGACCAACCATTCGTTTTCAAGAAGTAGTTCTACGAATGTTCAAATGCTTTTAGTAGACCAGGATGTCTTTGAAATGAGTTGTTCTCCTTGTTACAAAGATGGAATTCTAGCCACCTACTTATAAAACACCACCTGAGAGAGAGAAATATCTAACACTTTTCAGTTTCTTTTCTGGAAAACTAATGATAGGATTTAAAAAGCTGCTCAAAACAATTATGAAGCATCAGCAATAACACATTATAATTACACAAGAGAGACAATAGATATCTAATTGATATTTCCTTGTGTAATTACTTTTAAATTCAATTAGTTTGCTGTAAACTATGATTTAAAAGAAGCATAATTGTTTTCCTGTGTGCTTTTGTCCTCATTAAAGATATTAACTGCCTCTGGGTTTATACAGTAGATGTGCTTGGTATTTGAAAGCAAGGCTTTTCCTTTTTTTAATATTCTAGCAGATGTAATTACACAGGAAATGAGTATGGATAGAAAACTTTCTACTGTTCA